TTTTATCAAAGTTTTTGGCAGCGGATATTTTTGTCCCAAATGACTAATTAGGGTAGTGCAATCGAATGATACCGGAGGGTTAAACTCATTTTATATTATACCATATCATCATTGTGGTGAGAAATTGATATTAAGCATTAGGTCATGGTTTTCGAATAGTCATTACTTAATAAAAATGTGACTGCGACTATCAGTGACGTGCGGTGAGGTTCATGGCTGGTGAGGCACTGACTCTTTCAGAGTCAGATTTACAAATATTATATTTTGACCTTAATCGAAATATTCGGTTATTTTCAAAAGCTTTTTTAGTCTGATGCTTCGATTCATTTTAAACAGACCGTTTAACAAAAGGATACCCAAAATCTAAATATTGGATTGTTCTTTCTTAGTAAGATCCCATTTTCATTACAATTGGGGTCTTACCTTGACTTGAAGATTAAGTCCATGCTATCCTTCTGGACAACAATATCTATTACATTTTTGTAAAAGTCCTCCTTATCTTCCTCTAGTTTCAAAAGTCTAGTTTGTTGTTTGTGTCTACTGTCTCTGCGTAGAATAACAGTAGCAACAAGAACCTGTGGGCTCACGTGCGCCCCCTTCAGTGTGGCAGAGGTTATGGCTGCCTCCCCTGGTGCTTTTTTCATTGCCTGCCGTTGTATGATGAGACCAGCGAGCCTAAATATAATATATACGTGAAATAAGTTATTTAGAGACTATGGATGGCGAGGATAAATGTAATAAAGGGATCTACAAACATTACATTGGTTACATACAGTGAGATGGTGCAGGCATGCGCTTAGGGTCCGCTTTCCAGCCAGTTTCTGTGGGGTAACGCATTCTGAGGTGAGGCAGATCTCATCTGTGCCTCACCTTACCCCACAGTAACTGGCTGGTGCGCACTCACAAAATAAGTGCCCGCGTTAAATTAGTGCCCGCGCTCCAGACAGTTACTGTGGGCTTAAGAGAGGCAGAGCTCGTCCCTGCCTCACTTCTCATCGCTACCCGTAGTTGTAGCGGAGCTCGGCAAATTTACTGATTTTGACTATAAAAAGCGATTGGAATCAAACATAAATCACATTTACAACACAGAACAGTGAAGACATTTTATTATTATTACTATTTAGTTTTTCTTTAGTTGTTTTTCCGTTACATTGGAGTATGACAGGTGAGGCTCTGCCTCCCCTGACTGCACGTCGCTGGCGACTATCATCTTGTCTTAAAATGTATATTTTTACCCGTACGAAACATTGTGTAAAGATAAGTGCTAGCTAGCTACATCGCTACTCGGGAAATATCTTATATATAACGTAATTTAAGAGTTAAGACATTCGGAAATAACAATGATACCCTTGAAAAATTCGACTGCAAATAGTAACTTGCCTATTGTGTTAATTAGCTCGCTGAAGCTGTATACTAAACATATCACACTTAACACTAGAACCGCCAGAGGTCGATGTATACCTAAAACCGCCAACGGGTCAAATGTACCCGCTATTGATTTGCAAGGTACAATGTTCTTTTATTTATCATACAGAACAGTGAGTTTTGATCGCACAGGGATGACATTTATACCAATAGAATCTGTAGACTCTCAGCTTTTCATATTATATAGTTTGTGCTGATAGCATGAAGTATAAAATATCACTACCAGTGCTGATTTAAACGCTTGGTGTTAGACTTGTGTTTTTGTTTAGGTACAAATCTCTCTATCTCTCTCTCTCTATCTATCGATCCATCTGTAATGTTCTGTTCTATGGACATATAATTGTCTACATTAACAGACGACGCGGACTACTTCTCTCATTCCGAGTGTCCATCTTTATTCAACTGGCACGTAACCTACACACATGCATTACGTCCTCAACGTGAGCTCAATCATCCAAGATGTTACACTATCTATAACTATCTCTCTCTATCTATATATATATATCTCTATCTATCTATCTATCTATCTATCTATCTATCTATCTATCTATCTATAAGGAACCGCAGTAGACAAAAGGCGTTGCTATAGCAACACGTCATGTTTACGCTGCATTTTCTATGAGGTGAATATTACCCGCTGGCGGATGTGGGTATAAACGGCAATTTTGTTGGCGATTTTTTCAATCTGACTTCCTATTGACAATTTTTAACAACAGAGGGTGCTACATAACACACTTTCAGGAAAAGTCACGGACTGGGAGACTTTAATATGCTATGGAAAAAAAGTTACATACAATCAAAAAACAGCTGCGGGTAAAATGTACCCGTTGGCGGTTCTAGTGTTAAAATGGATAGACATTTGGACCATTTATCTATGGAAATACATCGCATAGCGAACACATGTTCAGGCCAGTTCATTATGAAATGTGCTTTTATATGGGTATTGAATAGCTGACAGCTAACTGATAGCTAAGGTCAAGTTTCAGAGAGACGTACTAGTGCAAGCAGTGCCAGATCAGAATATTAGATATAGGGCTTTATTAACTTTAAGTTACATTATTGCATCAACTAACAAACATGAAAGTTGCATCATGCACATGCCTGCTACACATGTGTTGTTGCCTCACTTACACTTTTTCTCTCTCAACAGGTGTGGCTCAGCTTCAGTGGTTGCAACTTTGAGCTTACCTGCCGATTCAGGACAAGTTAATCAACATACAGTACATGTGTTTGCTAGACCAATAGCCTTCTTGTTCTTCTATCCACAAAAACACACACAGAGATTCCTAGAATTGGTAGATAGAACAGGGGATAACGTATTGTAACCCTAGTTATATAAGCACAGGCGGAGCCCTCTACTGGACTCTATGGGTACTACTCTCTATCATGCTGTGCGTGCTTTCACCTACTGAGTTTACGTAAACGTAGCCGGCCAATCGGGGCGAGCCTACCTGAATGCGCGCGCAGGCCCACAGTATATAAAGGTGGCTACACCCGCCGCCCACTATCCTATACACAGCAAATTTGAAATCTAAAATGCAACACCCATGTAGTTAATTTTAACAATATGAAAGAGTTTATATTGAAACCACCAGCAAAGTGTTAAATTAACACTTTCCAAAGTGTTGACAATATAACACTATCATAGTGTTACTATACCAACACTAAGAGTAAGATGTGAACACCAACACTGAACACCAACGCCGATAACAACACTAATAGTGTTGGCTGCAGCTTCAATTTTACACTGTCCTGGTGTAGAATAAAACTACAGTAGTGATAGATCTTCTCCCATTTAACACCTTTAAGAGTTAAACATGTACACTAATAGTGTTGCAATTGTACACTGTCCTGGTGTAGAGTAACACTACAGTAGTGATAATTTATCCCATCTAACACCTTTAAGAGTTAGAAATGTACACTGAGCTAGTGTTGAATGCACATTATACTGGTGTTGCATTTTGCATTAGCCTCAACCCTCTGGGAGTTCAAAATTAACACTAAACTAGTGTCAAATGTCGTGTATTGGTATTATGATGTACAACAAACTGGTGTTAAAAGTTACAATGACCAATAAATCATTCCAGATATCAGCATATGACAAGTGCTTTATTTGAATGGTGGCATGTCTCTTAAGACTGACAAATTATTCCAATATTCAATTCAACTAACATTCAATATTGTTCAACAGCAAAAATGTATATAAATAACCCAGTTGAGGTCCAAAAATGTTGTTTGTTGCCTGCCGTGCCAGACAACATTTTTGAACCACACACACCCAGTGTTTCAGTACAACAACAAAAAAATGTTGATGGAGAAATAAAAATTACAGCACATAGCTGTCTAAGACAAGATAAAAAATGGTGTCATTGGCACTTGCAGACATTTGAAAATCAAAAGGCTTATGAAATTGCAGTGCATCAGGTTTGATGACTGAAAGACTATCCTGCTTAACAACATTAAAAGGCATGAAGATGCTCAACAAATAAACTTTCCATGTCTCTTAAGAGTCGACTGACACATTCTCCCAATACTCAATTCAACCAACATTCAATATTGTCCAACAGCAAAAATGTATATAAATAACCCTCTGTGGCAGTTGAGGTCAGGCAACAAACAACCTTTTTGGACCACACACACACTCACACCCAGTGTTTCAGTACAAAACAAATCTATGTTATAGACAGTTGTTTGCAGAAATGTGTACATGCTTTTGAGTGCTGGATCATAGCTAGTCCCTAAGACAAAGTGAAGCTTAAAAAGTTCATCAATTGCTGCTAAGGAAGTGGTAGCCTCACAGGGGATGCGCTTCTTGTCGATCAGAATGAAGAAGTTGCCGATGGCCTCCTTGCTGGTCCCTGAAGCAAGAAGATTTGGCTGGCTTGTGTCGATATGGCTCTGAAGGTGCTCGTCCAGACTCCTACAGGACTGAAGGCAAGCAACATTTTGATTTTACATGGCTAACTATGCGCATGTATGTGTAATATGTGAGTGTGTTTTTAGGAATAGTTTATATTTGCACTAGCCTAGTCCTACTTTATCATAGTGACAGCTCTCTGTAGTAGTTCTGTATGGAATGCCATTTAAGCCAAAATTAAATAAATAAATAAATACATAAATAATTAAATAAATACATATATATATAAATATGGCTATGAAATAAATTCTAAAATAAATAAATTAGGCAATAAATATGTATACATGTACATTTAAATACACATTTATTTATTTCATGGGACTTTTATTTCAAGAGACTTTTATTTCATAATGACACATTTATTTATTTCAAGAGACTCGTATTTCATAATGACACATGTATTTATTTCAGATGACTTGTATTTCATAATGACGCATTTATTTATTTCAAGAGACTCGTATTTCATAATGGCGCATTTATTTATTTCATGTGACTTGTATTTCATGATGAGACATTTCCATTCCTTATATGCAAATGAACAGGGCGTGGTTAGCTCACAGATCCAGACCAAAGCAACAGCACCACAACACTGACTCAATAGCTTTTGTTTCACACTCCAGTACTCTTAAGTGGTTTGCAACTGCCAATAAACCAAACCGGTTCAAGAACCATTCTTGTGCTTTTCTGGTGCTTAACTGGTTCTTCTCTGGTCTTATCTGGTCCGCCCAATGCTGCTCTTCTGAGAGCAACCGCTCTGACAGCTCTCTCTAGTCTCTACTGGGAAACAGCTAAAAGTCCTTCTGGAGGTAAGCAACGCTACACAATTACACCCAGTCTGAGAGTAAAATATATCTCGAAGGTTCGTTTTGCTTTCTTACAACGTTAAGTTAATGTTAACGTAATCTTACGTTTGCTAGGAGGCTATTGTTACGAGCTAGCTGTCTTAGCTAACAACAGTTAGCAGCTAACGTTTTCTGCAGTTTGGGTTGCCCTTGAAAAACGTGATGTAGTTATTTAAGGGTATGTTACATTAACGTTATTTTACAAGTTGAGAGTTAAGTTGTGTTTAAACGTCAATGTAATGCACGTTAGAGGTTTTTAGTTGGACATGAAGTTAGCTAACGTTAGCTAACTCTACCAGGTTAGCATGTTAAGCTGTACTTTCTATGGCAGCTAGCTTAATACAAAGAGGGGTTTTGTGCTTCATTGCAAACTTTTCTTTGTTAATCTACCTGAAACTGTAGGGACAGTTTGTTTCTACTCAACTATACAGACCATTGTTGAGGAGATGCAAAACATACTGTACATGAGTTGGGTCCAACATATACCTTGAGTAATGTTACTTTGCTTCTAAAAATGAAACATCATTATCAGATGAGGACATCACCAAAGTGCGTGAGCCTGTCAGGGGATTTGATCTGTTCTCTGCATGTCCTAAACACTGCTCTGGTATTACTTATCTTGTAAAATGTAAGTCTCGCTCTTGTCATCTTTCAGGCTTTGCATTTGAACTCCTATGACTGGTTGCGGACTTGAAGGGAACGTCTTCCTGACATCCAGGAAAAAGGTGAGATACATTTGAATGCCAAAAGCAAGTTATTGTTTTTAACTTTTTAAATATGATTGTTTTGGGGCATTTCAGTTTTATTGGACAGAGGCAGTAGAGATCTACTGGAAACAGTGGAGAGGGAGGAGATGATATGCAGCATACGGCCCAGCCGGATGGTTGCTGCTCCGTGTGGAACGTGTTCTATCAGGTAAAGCACTTTGGTACCCAGTTATTTATGGTATTGAGTTTGAATTTAGCTTTTGGAATGTAATTTCCAACAGTGCATTGTAAAGACTGAAAAAACAGCCTCAGGTTAAAGCTTGACATGATTTGGTCTTTTACTTAAGAGGATGTTTGTCCTCCTGTGTTGTCTTATTTCCTTATCTTTCTTTCAGGTATAACATCTACCAATGGTTGTACATGACAGAGACCTCCTCCACCTCTTTGCTGTCTTACTAGTCAATCCTTCTGATCAGGTCCTTTCCTAAATAGTGGTAAGTTTTACAGTTCAGTGTACGTTAATTTAACAACTTAATGCTTTACCGCTGTTGAATAAATCCTATATTGCTAGTCATTACATGAACCTCATGGGAGTCACTCCTCAGTTTATACCGTGTTTTGTTTCAATTCATGTATAATTTAGTTACAAATATGTGATATATCTGAACAACAAAGTGGTCAAAAATCATTTTATTCATTTTTTGGAAACATTTTCATGATCGCTTTTTTCGTTTTACATTTTCATTTATTGTCATTTCCATTCAATCAGTCATTAAGTGCTATTTAAAATGTTAATGTGCTACATATCCACACAAACACACAAAGTGTGCAATCCAATGAATGTTAATCTAACTGGGTTTTGATAGATAATATATCTCTTTTTCTTCTCTCAATTATTTATTTCTATTGTGCACTCTAATCAATATTAATCAAACTATTGTTCGTTTATACATTTTAAGAATGGCGTTTATCTTTTTTGAGAATTAGTTCTTATTTTATTTTATTTATTTGGGTCTACAACAGATGATACAAATGTTTGTGTCAGTAAATGTGTACTAACAGAGTGTGAAAATAACGGGGACAGAGCTGCTGTCAGACGATCAGCTGTGCGGCGTCATCACACGTCGCTTCACGTGACGCTCCGGAGGAAAGGACGTCCCATTGCTCTTAAAACTCATTTCCCTGCTTCTCGTGGTTTCCTTGCATCCCTCCATGCTTCCCTGGTGGGAGGGACTAGTCGCAGGGAAACAACGCAAGTGAGGGACGCAAGGAATCCATTTAACCGAAGTGAGAAGGACCCAATATCACGTATCTGTTCTTCTTCTCTGTTTTCCGGTTGTTGCCTGTTTTGAATGACGAATACACACTACCGCCGCCTGCTGGTAAGGAGAGTTATTGCCACTCACGCATGCGCAGTTCGTACGTGCTCGGCTGAAGTCTTTGCGGTGTCTGGCTCCAGTGCAACACGCAGGAGAACACGCCGACGCAACAGCTTGAGCAGAGATATGGCGCGTTTCCACTGCAGCGGGTAGCTCGCTTTAAGCGTGCCGAGCGGGGCCCGTTTTTGGTTGCGTTTCCACTTGGCCTAGTTTTGGCCCAGGGCTACTTTTTCACCTTTTTTCTGGCCCGACTAAATCGTGGTTGTAGGGCCAGGAACAACCAGGCTGAGTCGGGCTGAGTATGCTAAACTAGAGAGAATCGCTGGCAAGGGGGCTACAACTACAACAAGATGAACATATTTGACCGTGATTTAATTGTAATACACGTTTCAAAATTATGCCGAAGTAACAACATACTGATACCGGTTAGTAAAAACCATGAATTAATGCTTTGACAAGTCTGCAGACAGACGGCAGGCGAAAAACCCTTTTAAAATGCGTGTTTTCTAAATGTAGCTTGGCTAAGCTAACGTTATATATGCTCCGACCGTCCACACTCACAACAACGGCCTATACAGACATAAATAAAGCAGCGACTGTATTCGCCATGACACAGGCAGTCTGTGGTTTGTACTTATTTAACTTTTGTCTAGTTTCTGAACAGATATGAGGAGCTGTGAGCTCTGAGTGCTAAGAGCTAACGGCTGTGTTGTTTTTCTGGGGCTCTCATTGAAGATGACGTCACGGCTCCGCCTACACTGCGTTACTATAGTAACTGCCCCAGTTCCTAAACTGTAATGGAAGAGCCGAGCCTAATAATAATAATAATAAGGCCTAACCAAACCGAGCGAGGCCTACAGTGGAAACGCGCCAATAGACTTTGCAAAATATACAGATAGCAGGAGACAGAGGACAGCCATGGTCAGATAGGAAAACATTCAGGACATTGATTTACATTTTATATTAGCAAGTTATTTGAATGTATACATTCAAAAATATAGGGACAATATATTAGCCACTCACTTCAATATGTACAGTAACTAAAGCTGTCAGATACATTTGGCCTAGTGCAAAGTAATGCTTAAAAGTCATGCCATCTCAGGCCAGGGAAGCTTGGGGGTACAGATGACCCTGACCAGTCCAGGCTGGGAGATTTCTGGGGTATGATGAAGTGTTTTGACACATGACTGTAAATGGTCCACCCCTCTTGGGGCTTCAATGTCCACAAAAACAAGCCCGGCTGGGGATATAATAAAATGGGTGTCTGCTGAAGAGCCATCATTTCAATATGGATGCGATGGCGACGAGCGCGCCTGAGAGGTAATAAGTAGCCTTTGTATTTATACTAAATAATATATCTCTCTATGTCTCTCTCCCATTCCCTCTCTGTTCACAGGGCAATGGAGAGAAGGGTTGTGTTCTGCCTGCTCTGCAACACCCCTCAGCTTTCAATCAGAACTCACCTGCACAGGGTGTGCATGAAAGAACACACCCCGGAGCAGCGAGAGATGGAGGAAGTGAGGGCCAAGACTTCCCAGAAGCACTTCAACAGAGAGGGCAGGGTGTGGAAGTTCTCTGAGCTGGAGACGTTCTGTAAAGACGCTGCATCCTGTGTCGCCCTGTGCCAACGCCTTGAGAGTCGGGGGTTGTTAGTGGCTGACAGTCCTCTGACCTACCAGCACATTGAACCATCAAAGGGGTATGAATATTCAGTGTTTCCCCTACCATTGTCTTGGCCAACGGAGCCCCCCCTGAAATTCAAGGTGTTTTTAATTTTTAAATTATTATTATTATTTGTTATAAATATATATAGTAACCAAATTGCAACTGAAGTAATCTATCTACAGTCACTTTTCACATTGAACATGTGCTCTTTTATTAAAACACTGATATTACCAAACCATATTGTTGGTGTAGAGGAAACTTCTGTGTAGCTATTCAGTGGGAGTCACCGACTCAGGAAGGAGACACGGGAAGAGCAGTAGCTTTGATGTCAAACACATGATGGTTTATTTGGAGTTAACGGCCGGAGGATTCACATCACAAGTCCAAGAGTCAGAGGTTCTGACTTCACGGTAGAGTTGCCACGTCAATTCTGAAGAACTCTACCCCAGACCCATGTATTTAGCTAGTTCAGAGAGCATCATCAACATGCTGCATAACAAGATAGAATGATAACACCTCTATCAGCTGACGCCAACAGGCAGGAACAGGGAGACAAAACACTGAGAGCACAGCAGCCAAGGTTACAGGTGCCTGTGCTCAGTCAGGACAGTTTGAACTGATACACTGGGTCAAAGTTATGGGCCTTGGAAAATATTTCCACAACAGTTGGTATTATTGCACTGACACAAGATGTATCGCAGAGAACATGCTTGGGCCATTTCTAACCATAATGTTTCTGTGTATGTGTGTTACTTGAATGTCATTAGGTCGCACGACGTTGACATCCTTGCCGCAGCAGCGGATGACATGGACTTTTTCAAGTCTAGACTGGTGGTCGGCCATTCCCTTCCTAAAGCTGCTGTCACCTCACTACGTAGCTACTGCGTGGCCATCATGCTTTTACGGCATATAATAGCTACAAACTGTAGAGTTATATTTGTATTTATTCATGTTAGCAAACTATGGATAAGCTTAAAATGAGAATCATTTGGGTAAAACTGTGAGCTGGATTTGGGGCCTGTTGACATGTGTTTTTGAGGACAAAGGAAGATGGGGGAAGGTGAGAGCATGTCCTGATTTGCATTCAACTTAGAACGAGCTACAGTGGTTGTGATATTAAGAGAGGTCCCTTGGGTTTCTCTGGTGGTTATCAATAGTAGCAGTTAAGTGAATACTGTTCAAACAATACCTGTGTTTGTGTTTTATATTGATTTCTCTGTTTTATCCTTTCATAAATGTAAGGACTACAAATGGCTATAAACATTCTGGGCTGGTTGGAGTAAACAGGGTTTTATGGCTCTGTGGGGGAGGTGTAGGTATGCAGGCCTTGAGACCTTTTGTTGGAAAGTGAGCCTGTTTGGTTTCCTGCTGCGTTTCCTGCTGCGTTGCGTCTCCCAATGAGATGACCTGAAAAGATGACCAGCTGACCTAACACCAAACCCCTCCTTCTTACTCTGGTATATATCCGGAGGATCCCTGGCGTTCGGCCTCTTCTTCACATGCTGCCCTCGGGTGAAAGTAGCTCTGTAGTATGCGGACTAGAGCAGGAGTAAGCCGGCATTACTCCTTAAGCATTGCAATATAACTGTAATATATCATGTTGTATTGTAATGATTGTATTGCATTGTCATATTGCCATTAAAGTAGATTATTGTTAACGGTTACTTTGTAGATATGGATTCCTTCCTGTATTATAACCAGCTTCATAGGAACGCGCGGAGATTTGAAAAGCGGACCAGTTATCCCTTTAAATCTCCAACAAAATGGTGACCCGACGTCTATAACGAAGCTGAGGAAGAATTCAGACGCTTTCAAACATCTCAGACAATCAGCAGGACTCTGCAACTTTGCAAATAAGGTAAGCAGACGATGAAAGTCGCCTGTCTGTAATTGGATACGCTAAAACTTTAGGATTGTCTGTAGGCGTTTCACAGTGTTTTTATAGTTTAAATGGAATATACAATGCATATTTTACTATGTTAGGAAAGTTATATACAAAACGTAAACGTGGATCGACAGGTAGACGAAAGTCCTGCGTGACGTAAAATAGAGCAGTTTGGCGCGGATCTGCAGGTGTTTATTCCTGAGTGGCGTAGAAATGGTGCAGTTTGTGT